GGGATCCCTCCCAGGACCAGGCCCTCTGACGCGGGGATCCCTCCCAGGACCAGGCCCTCTGACGCGGGGATCCCTCCCAGGACCAGGCCCTCTGATGCGGGGATCCCTCTCAGGACCAGGCCCTCTGACGCGGGGATCCCTCCCAGGTCCAGGCCCTCTGACGCGCTTTCCTCCCTGCAGTGTTCCACCTGTCCCACAAGGTCACCAGGGTCGTCCCGGAAAGCGCTCTGCTCATCGTCTTGGGCGTGGTGCTTGGCGGCATCGTCTGGGCGGCCGACCACATTGCTTCCTTCACGCTCACGCCCACGGTCTTCTTCTTCTACCTGCTGCCGCCCATCGTGCTGGATGCCGGCTACTTCATGCCCAACCGGCTCTTCTTTGGCAATCTGGGCACCATCCTGTTGTACGCTGTCATCGGCACCGTGTGGAATGCAGCCACCACAGGCCTCTCACTCTACGGCGTCTTTCTCAGCGGCTTGATGGGTGAGTCTAGGCATTCCTGCTCGGTGGGTTCTGGGCACTCCACATAGCAAAGTTGAGGTGTAGGTTGCACAGCAGGTGATGAGCAGTGTCTCTGGTGGGCTCCCTTACCTTGAACCTTGGAAGTTTCAAGGCCTCACTGCGTGTCTGTGGTATCCTCTTCTGCTCCACACACACCACCCCCTGGGCTGGCACGGGTGGCTGTTCCTCCTTTTGCCGTGTTCATCAGGGAGGAAGGGAACAACCAAGGAGAAAGCCCTGGGTGGCATCTGGGCTCACGGAAGCTTGGTGCAGTGCATTTCTGCACTCCATGACACCAGCCTCTCCCGCTGTGGTGGTTACTCAGCCCGTCCCGGGTGCACCTCCATCCTTGTGGCTGGATTTCTGTCCACTAGGGAGACTGAGAAAGTGAGGTCCCAGCCAATGTCAGCAGATATTTGGGGACAAGTCCAGAGTCACTGGGGATTTTCTCTCTAGCTTGGGGAAAACATGGGGTAACTGAAATCCCGAGGCTAAAGAGACATGTCAGGGAAGAGGGAGTAGCAACCCTGGGGCGCGTCCGTCCGGCGGGGACCTTGCGCTTGCTAGGGTATCTGGCATTGCTGGGCAGGGCGCCCCCAGGGTGAGCGGGCCCTGCCTGTGCTGCCGGAGGAGGTGGCTTCCTAGCACCGGTGATGCGCTACTCCTGTCACGGGACCCTGGGCCCTGGGGGAGTGGAGCAGGGCCTCCGGGGCCCGTGCCCCTGGCCTCGGGCACACACACTCCTTCTCACTTGACTACCACTGGGTGTCCCAGGCCCGGAGAAGCCGCCGTTAGACGGAGCTGATGAGGAGGAAAAAAACGTGTCTCAGGGACAAATGGCTGAGTTTTGGCAAATGTACTCACCCTGTCAACTACATGGCCATCCAGTTCTAGAACATTCCTATCACCTGGGATGTCCAGGTCGGCTCGTCTGCTGTAGTTGTGTAGGACCATCCAGGAGCAATGCTGCCCTGCCCACAACAGACGGGGCCATTCTCCATAACCACAGAGCTGCCAGCCACGCGTAGCCATCGGGCTACGCTGGCCAGGCTGAGGTCATGGGGTAGGCAAGGCCTCCAGGCTAAGTCTGCTCTGCTCTACGCGTCACAGGTCTGCTTCTGCAGATCCCCTGCTCAACGTTAGAAGAGCTCACAGACCTCAGATGGGTTAGGCCAGGCTCTCATCCGTCCCCTGCAGGTCTTCCTGTGTGTGTGCATGTGTGTGTGCACATGTATGTGTGTACACTGTGTATGTGTGCGCACGAGTATGTGTGTATGTGCACAGGTGGATGTGTGTTCATGTGCAGATGTATTGTATATATGTGTGTGTGTATTGTATGTGTGCAATGTGTGCACGTGAGCATGCATACACATGTCTGTGCATGTGTACATGTGTGCAATGTGTATACATGAGCATATATGTGTGCACACATGTACGTGTGTGTGTGTGTGTGTGTGTGTGCTGGTACTTGGAACTCAGGACCTTGTACTCTTGGCTTTTTCAGTCAAGGCTGTCACTCTACCACTTGAGCCACACCTCCACTTCTGACTTTTTGCTGGTGAATTGGAGATAAGAATCTCACATACTTTTCTGCCCAGTCTGGCTTTGAATCTCCATCCTCAGATATTAACCAGCTCAGTAGCTAGGATTGAGGATGTGAGTCACCAGTGCCCAGCCCTGAAGTAGAGAGGGCCAGGCATTCAGTTCCACACACCTATGGAAGGGTGAGTGTAGAGGGGGAAGGCAGCTCCGGTCAGCGCCCGTGCTTCCTGCGGGCCTGTGGGCTGAGCTCTGTCAGAGGACTGGAGCAAGAGGCCAGTTGTAGCACAGGCGGTTTATGTCAGGACGGCCGGAGGGGCTGTGAGCTTCCACGTGTGGTTCCAAGCAGGAATTGGGTCCTATAGGACAGCACTTGCCTAGCTTGTGCAAGGTCCTGGGTCGGTCCTCTGTCCACAAGAGTAAATAAATGGCTGAACCTCAGGTGCTGTGGTTCTGACTGGAAGCTGGGAGACTTAGGACCCAGGAAGTGCTGTTTTCCCAGTCCCTGCTCCCCACTCCTTCCTGAGAGCCCCAGCCTCTGACCCTAGATCCAGGGTGGGGTCTGCAGCCCCAGTCATCAGGCCCCAGCCCAGGCAGCTCTGGTACCTCAGCTGCCCCTAGACTCCCCAAACCCCAGAGATGCTGAGATTGATGACGGGGGAAGGGAGGGCCAGGGACCCCCACTCTGAGGACGGGGGCTGGCCCTGGGCTGTGTCAAAGCTGTGCCCCCACTTGGCCCGCTTGCCCTGCAGGTGAGCTGAGAATCGGGCTCCTGGACTTCCTGCTGTTCGGCAGCCTGATTGCTGCTGTGGACCCCGTGGCTGTGCTGGCTGTGTTTGAGGAAGTGCATGTGAACGAGGTCCTGTTCATTATCGTTTTTGGGGAGTCCCTGCTGAACGACGCGGTGACTGTGGTGAGTACAGGCGTTCCTGAGTGCCGGGGGAGGGATAGATGTCCAGATGTGGAGGAAGCCGCAGACGCCTAGACATGGATGCCCGAGGGATGGACGCATGTCCCACGGTGCCGTGGGGGGGGGGCGTCCTGGGGACACAGCTGAGATCTAGTCAGAAAGCCACAGTGGTCCAGTGGCTTCCCCATTCCTATAGCCTCATGTGGGCCAACCACTTCCCGTGGGCGCCTCCTCCCCTCATTCTCAGAGAAGAATAGCACTGCTGAGAGAGCAGGGATTTCACGTCTGCCTTGGATACCCTGCCCCTTTGCCAATGCGGGTGTGGAGACCAGCCTGCACCTCTGGCTGTGGGCTCATTGCTAGCATTGTTGGACAAGAGACAGAGACATCAGAGAAGCCGCTAGAAACAAAATTCTGGGCTCATCTGACAAATGAAAATCAATATATGGAGGGTTCATTTTATGGACACCTGTCTCGCCACAAACATCTGCCCAGAACATGTCCTGCCTGCGCTTCCCGTGGGCTGCCTCCTCCTCCTCTTGATCCTGGTTACCATGTGCTAATGAGGGTCGTCAGCTGCCTGGGCTGAGCCCAGAGAGGGTGGGTACTGACTGGCTGTGTTGCTCATCTCTGCCTCCTCAGGTCCTGTACAATGTATTCGAGTCTTTCGTATCTCTGGGCGGTGACAACGTGACTGGTGTGGACTGCGTGAAAGGCATAGGTATGTGGCAGCTCCACCCTCTGCTGGGACCTGGGACCCCACCCACCCCAGGGCTGTAGACCCCGCCCACCCACACAAGGCCCCACCCACCCCAGGCCTGCAGGCCCCGCCTACCCACACAAGGCCCCATCCACCCCTGGTCTGCAGGCCCCGCCCACCCACACAAGGCCCCACCCACCCAGGCCTGCAGGCCCTGCCTACCCAGAAGGCCCCGCCCACAGACACAAGGCCCCGCCCTCCCTCAGGCCTGCAGAAAGAGGACCAGTGACTCCTCTCCTCCAGAGCAGCCCCCCACACCCCTCTGCTGCCTGGGACCTGAGCCCACACAGGGAAAGACCTTCCTGCCCCCTTACTGAGCTTGCCCCTAACTAACAACTGGTTGAGGGCTTGGGATCCTGAGCCTCTCTCTGGAGCATATGGGGACAGCGCCTTCCTCTCCTGGGAAGAGCAGATGGACAGTGTCTGCGGATCAGGACCTGTGCTTGCCGGCAGCACTGTGGCTCCCTCCCCTGCCGCTCTCTGCACTCCGCCTGGCGTCCAGGCCAGACCTTGAGTAGAGAGCAGAGAGCTGGTCCTTGTGTCCTGAGCGGTGGCGGTCCCCGGTGTCCCCCGGAGGCCACCCGCCTGGCCAGCCCCCAGTGTCCCCCGGAGGCCACCCGCCTGGCCAGCCCCCAGTGTCCCCCGGAGGCCGCCCGCCTGGCCAGCCCTCCACACCCCGCCACAAAGGCAGCCTCTTCCTCCCAGTGTCCTTCTTCGTGGTGAGCCTGGGCGGCACGCTGGTGGGGGTCATCTTTGCCTTCCTGCTGTCCCTGGTGACGCGTTTCACCAAGCACGTGCGCATCATCGAGCCTGGCTTCGTCTTCGTCATCTCCTACCTGTCCTACCTGACTTCAGAGATGCTGTCCTTGTCAGCCATCCTGGCGTAAGTCCCCCGCTGGGGGGGGGGGATGTGGCTCCTGAGCACCCAGGGCACTAAGGCCCAGGGAGGCCAACGCAGGCTGGAGAGCGGCAAGGAGGTACGCGTGTGGGGGTGGGCAGCGTACCCCCAGGGTTCCCAGAAGCGTGGCCCCACCCTGCCCTGTGAGGGGCACATCCCCAGCCGCCTCCCCCCCCTCCCCGTCTGGTGGAAATGCATTCTAGGGGTAGGTGGGTAAAGAATGCGATTTCATTTTTAAATAAGGAGTTGGTGTTTCTGCAGAATTGCCCTTGCTGGCGTGGCCCTGAGGGGTATGGGGGAGGCTACGGCCAGATTCAAGAGTGACCTTTCCAGAAATCCCTGCCAACCCTCCCCCCACACCAGGCAGAGCCCAGCATTCCACGTCTGGCCTGGGCATACCCAAGGCCAAAGGCTGGGCCGTGATGGCTCTGGCGTGTGATACAAGCTGCCCCTTGGGTAGTTCCACATGCCAGCTTCACTGTGCCCAGAGGCTAGACAACCAGGTGGCTCCAGCTCAGGGCCTCAATCCATAGGAAGAGCCAGGTGCACACAGCCCAGGACGGACTGAGGGACACGGGACTCTGTCAAGCTACTGTGGGGACGGGGTATAGCAGAGGCTTTGGAGACACGGCCTGAGGGCTCTGCCCCCAAAGGGAGGGCACACCACAGGCTCACACGGCCTCCGCTCCTCAGCATCACCTTCTGTGGCATCTGCTGTCAGAAGTACGTGAAGGCCAACATCTCGGAGCAGTCAGCCACCACCGTGCGCTACACCATGAAGATGCTGGCCAGCGGGGCTGAGACCATCATCTTCATGTTCCTGGGCATCTCGGCCGTGGACCCACTCATCTGGACGTGGAACACGGCCTTCGTGCTGCTCACTCTGGTCTTCATTTCTGTGTACCGGGCCATTGGTGAGTGTCCAGCCTCCCTCGGGCTGCTGGCTATGGATTTGGGGCCCCGAGACAGCACTCAAGGATCTGGGCCTTGACCCCATAAAGAGCAGGCATGGTGCAGCCTAGGGGGATCAAGGTGGAAGGTACCAGAACCTAGAGGGAACCCATTTCCTTCCCTCTAACTCACCCAGGGATAAGGTCAGGAGGATGGGAGATGGAGCCTAGGCCAGAGTCCTGTCACTCCATCCTTCAGAGAACCCACCAGAAGGTGCATCTGAGCCCACCACCACACTGTCCCCAGTCGGCTGGGGGATGGGGGGATGGAGGGACAGGGCTGTGGGAAAGAGCCACGCGGGGACCGCCACGCCGTCCCCAGTTGGTGACAGAAGAGCCCTGGGGGCGTGGGGAGGCAGCACGGCGCTGAGCCCCCTCCCCACACAGGCGTGGTCCTACAGACCTGGATCTTGAACCGCTACCGTATGGTGCAGCTGGAGACCATCGACCAGGTGGTCATGTCCTACGGAGGGCTGCGTGGGGCCGTGGCCTACGCCTTGGTTGTGCTTCTGGACAAGGACAAGGTCAAGGAGAAGGACCTGTTTGTCAGCACCACGCTCATTGTGGTCTTCTTCACGGTCATCTTCCAGGTATGGCGGGGCTGCCCTCCCCCCCAAGCCCAGGCCGCAGTCCCTTCCTGCAGGAGGGTGAACATTTCCAGGCTCCAGACTCAAACTGGGTTTTGTAATTTTAGTAACTGGGCGTGTTTTGTAGGCTCCAGGGCCCAGGGGACACAGCACACTTCGCCCTAAGTGCTCCTCCAGGCAGTGGCCCGGACAACACCCGGTCAGCATGCCGGTGCTGCCCAGCCGCCCAGCAGGGGTGCCAGCTGGGGTGGGGGCCCCAGTGTGGGAGGAGGGGCCGGTACCATACCCTGTGTGTGTGTCACGTACAGGCATGGGGTCTGGGGTGTGGGGCTGGTGCTAGAGCCTCTCCTGTCTGTCTTCTAGGGCCTGACCATCAAGCCCCTGGTGCAGTGGCTGAAGGTGAAGAGGAGTGAGCAGAGAGAGCCAAAGCTCAATGAGAAGCTACATGGCCGGGTAGGGGTGGTGAGGGCTTGGAGGGAGGGGCAGGGGCAGGGGTGAGGGCTTGGAGGGGGAGAGACAGGGGTGAGGGCTTAGAGGGGGAGGGGCAGGGTGAGGGCTTGGAGGGGGAGGGGCAGGCTTGAGGGCTTGGAGGGACTTAGAGGGGCAGGGGTGACGGCTTGGAGGGGGAGAGACAGGGGTGAGGGCTTAGAGGGGGAGGGGCAGGGGGAGGGCTTGGAGGAAGAGGCAGGGGCTGGAGCAGGGGTAAGAGCTTAGAGGGGCAGGGGTGAGGGCTTGGAGGGGCAGGGGTGAGGGCTTGGAGGCAGGGGCAGGGGTGAGGGCTTGGAGGGGCAGGGGTGAGGGCTTGGAGGGGCAGGGGTGAGGGCTTGGAGGGAGGGGCAGGGGTGAGGGCTTGGAGGGGCGGGGGCA